ACCTTTGTCTAACCATGTATAACATTGCGTTGTAATTATGCTTGTTGTTGATACATTGCATAATGGCTTGCCGCTGAAATATGACGCCCACTTTTAAAATGTTGATCAAAGCCTTTGAATTTATCAAAAGCTGTTTTTTTCAATGTTGAAATTCATTATTGACGGATGTATTAGTTTTGAGGCTTTTTTTGATGATGTTGGTACACTGAAATAACAGCAATAATAATAGTAACTACAACATTTTTGGATTAAGTATTGTAGCCATGGTCATCCATGAAACCAATTCCCGATGAATGATTGATTTTCATGATTTCTTGGATAAGAAATAAGCTTTGATTGAGCCGGTGGATCTTGGCATGAATGTATAATATCAAAAATGTCATCAGATATTCCATTAATCGTCTTTTCTTTAAGTTGTATGTCTTGATCGTTTTCAATCTTAACATTTTGAAACGATTTTATTTGAGTAGTTGCAGCAAGTTCATTATTAATGACAGATGTATATGAAACATATGATTGTAAAATAACGTTTTCATTATTGATACCATCATCAATGTTCAAACGTATGAGCTCACTCCTCATCTGAGCAAATGAAAAAAAAAAAGAATCTAGAGTGTTTCTCTTATTATTTTGCATGAATTAATGTTCTGTGATCAGTGAAAAAGTGTAATATTGTGATCGACTCATTCTCAAAAGAGATACATTTTTTTGTATTTAAAAAGCTTTAAAAATAACAAAGCAATACATCTTGAGCGGTGTTGCTTAGTTCTAAGTTCAAAATATTTCGATGTGTAGCTATTTTATATTCAACACTATATAAATATTTTCGTAGCTATGTCAACTATTGTTTGCTAGCTATTCACTCTGCTCATGTCTTTATGGAATACCTATTTAATCTCCAGCACGATTGAAATCTTTTCAGCAATATTTCAAAAAAATCTTCATTGCCATTTAAAGACTGTTCAGCTATTTAAATATCTATAACTGTTTAATTACCTCCATAGCTATTTAAATCTCTCCATAGCTGTTTAAAGACTACTTAGCTATTTAAAGCCCGATACATGTTGAAAACTTCATTTTTATTTAAATAGGTGTCTTCTGTTTATTTAACGTTACTGATCCCTTTTCGAGCAGAGACTTCAGTGAAAAAAATCCAGAATTCAAATATCTTGATGATTGAATATAATATGTAACCATCAGCAGCCCCGAAATTGACCATTCTCAAAACAGATACGTTTAATATAGCATTCTTCTATAAATATATTCATTGCTAGCTGAATACCTCTCATCTATTTATTTACCTGCAATATATATTTTCAAGAGCAGCTATTTCAATAAATGTCATCTATTAATGAAACCTACTGATTGTTTTCTGGCAGGGGTTGTGGAATTGAGTGAAAATACTTATTATTATGCAGATAGCTAGTTCCTTTTTGGCAACATTTGATTTATTCATGTACATCATTTTATGAGTTATTCAAGGCTAGGATTATTAAAAAATTCTCATAGCAATTTGAAGTGTTTAATAACTGTTCATGAAGAAAGAAATTTGCCAATTTTAGATTACTCAGCCATCCAACAGAAAAATATCCAAAATTCAATTACAAAAGAATCATCTATTTAAATAATGTAATAGTTGCGTACATTTGTTTAAACCCAGGTGATTCGATCCGACTGTCGGATTACGTCGGATTATATCGGATTATATCGGAAAAATTACCGGATTTTAACGGATCCGACGGGAACTCGTCGGAAGTTGTCGGCGTCCTAGCCACAGGATTCCGACAGGAGGTTCCGGATGTCGGAATAATCAGGATCCTGCGAAATCCCTGAAACTCCGACACTTTCCGACATCCAGAACCACTTGTCGGAATCCTGTGGTTAGGATTCCGACAAATTCCGGCGAATTTCTATCGGATTCGACAGGGTGAATTCGACCTGGGTAATGGCTATCAACATTTTAAATAGCTATGAAGCTTTAAATAGCTATGATGTTTAATTGAAAAGTATCTCTTTTGAGAAGCTACGATCTCTACAAATGATTTTACTGCTAATTATTTTGTTCGACATCACTAGTTGACGATCTTGACATCGTTCTTGCCAAAATCTTGTTTTTCTTGGCTATCAGGCAAGATTCTTTTTCTATTCCTTCTATACAAGATTCTTGTCGGAAAAAACTGATCTTGACATTCTGCAAGATACGTGTAGACTGAATCTTGGCTGGCGAGGCATGAAAAGCTTTGCCAGGCAAGATTCTTGTGTTCTTGTATTCTTATCCAATTCTTTTCTCTTGAAGTTCTTGGCTGGTTCTGTTTTCTTGACTCCCTACCCTGATTCTTTCTACTTATATTCCTTATATTTTTTTTTCTTAAATACTACGTGTTTATTAGCTTAAATAGTAAATAGTACAAGTAAATAATTTATATAAAAATAAAACAAAACAAATAGTAAAATATTTTATTTACACTAAAAATGTTTATTTATTATTATAATTTGTTTTCTTCATATTTATCACTTGAAATCGAGAATGATTGACCCAGTACTAAGCTGTGGTTTTCCGTGGCACGACATTTGCGCGCGCGACACTTACGCGCCGACACTTGCGCGCCGACACTTGCGCGCCGACACTTGCGCGCACGACATTTACGCGCATTAGAATGAATTTTTTTCTCCCCCTATTGTTTGATTAGTTAAACTCATCAATGTGAATAAAAAAGAGTGTTCTGTTTCCACATTATTGTATCAATTTGTATAAATAAAAAAATCGATGAGATCATGAGATTAATTAATAAAGAGGAATACAATACAATTAAAATAAAAACAAGATGTAGGAGATGAAACATAAGCATAAATAAATTATTCGTTAATATTTACATCTTGTCGATAACTTCTATAAAAAATGTCTATGATTCAATCAATGAAGGGTAAAGACCAACTTCTTCTCGACGGTTTTCGTTATCGTCGAGATAGATTAGTTTGGTGTTGTATTAAACGAAATTGCAAAGGCCTTTTCTGAATAATTTCTGAATGTTTGATTTACTATTTACTAGTTGTAAATCTTATTTAATTATGGCCTTTTCTTTACTTGTATAATTCTTGCTTTTCATAAATATTATTTCAATAAATAGTGGTTCAAAAATTTCCCAGAATAATTAAATTAACATCGAAAAAATTTTCGTGTTGCGCGCGTAAGTGCCGTGCGCGAAAATGTTGCTGCGCGCATTTGTCGTGCGCGCAAATGTCGGCGCGCAAGTGTCGGCGCGGAAATGTCGCGCGCGCAAGTGTCAGTGAATCGTGGTTTTCATTAAGTTGTTTTTGGGAAACTAAAATTAGCTATAATACCACCAATTAATGTGTAATGGATCCATTCTTACTATAAAATATTTTCACTTACCTGATGTTGACATAAAAATGAAATGTTGTGTTTGACTAGAATATCTGTTGTTCATTTAAGTGAATACAGTAGCTATTATTTATTGTTACTTAAAAATAAAAAATATTCTACGAATGTCGATGTATATATATGGATTGACAGATACACGTGCATAAGACATTACGTGATATGTCTTGAAAATCAAATTGGAATCTTGTTTCTTTCGTGTCAACCGAATCTTTTCTGAAATACAAGAAAATCAAAATACCTTGAGGTTCTTTTCAGATTCTGGTTTTTCTTGATAATTATTCAAGATTCTTTTATTTTGAACTTCAGGCAAGAATCTTTTTTCTTTTTGTGTCAAAAGAATCTTGCCTGACTTCCATGATTAAACAGAATCTTGTCTGCTTGACAAGAAAAACAAGAATCTGGATAGAATAGATTCAAGAACATCGATTAGTAATGCAACCTATTTTAACAATCATGATCGATACAATAATCCAATACATAAAGAATATAGTTTTATTTGATTAAATATTCATTTCTATTATATTTAGTTCACTTTGTTGTTCGAGTTCTTAAATAAAGGAGATGAAAATAATGAAGCAATTAAACGTTTTATAACATATAATCTTCAAAACCATTTTCGAGAATATCCTTGTCAAAAAATTGCTATTCTTATTAATATGAGTGAAGCAGGACTTCGACATTTGGTAAGTTGAATTAAAAATATTTTTTTTAATCAACTTATTATTTTTATATTCAGGATTATGATTTGGTTAAATTCATTATTGCTAGTGAACAAAACTTTTATTCAGTTTAATAGGTATATATAGAGCAATCTTTTAATGTTCATATTGTCATTTTGCTTTTTAGTCTATCTGCTTATGTATAAAATATCATTTCTTTTATCAGGTAATATTTTTATGTATTGATTTTATAGAAAAATTCCATTTTTCTTCAGCGGCTTGAAAGTTCATTGATACTTGGATAGCGACTGAATCTGAATAATTTGTTAAATTTGTCGATACTAAATCAATTACACAATATAGTTCACCTGATCAATTATCAACAGCAATGCATGGCACTGCAAATGAGAGCTAATGATTCTTTCCGATTAATTTTCTTGTTTCTTATTAAAGACTGAAAATCATTTATCATTGTTCAATGTATGCTTTACTAAAAACAATGACGAAGGAGCTTTTTGGCATAAACGATAACAAATCTAGTTGTAATTATACTAATAATCAATTATTTGGTCATCTGATAGTAGTATTTTAATATGAATGATAAATGGAAAAGATTAGAGAAATGAGATAATACTTCTAAAACATTTCATGCTACATCTACTTGTGCTCTTCTTCATGTAAAGCCATCAATTATTATTATCTATAAATAGTTTTATTATTTGATTAAAGTTATGTTTTCTGTTCTTATAGAGCAGTGTGTTTTGAGTTAAGTATATACGCTGAATTGTTGACTTAATAATTTAATTTTTTACCATTGTGACTATATTTTATTTTATTCAATCAATTAATTTTATTTTCTTTAATAAAAAAACTATTATCCAAGTCATAGAAAATGAAAATAAACTGGAAAAAGAAAAAAGAACAAATACGAGGTATATTTATTTTCGACGTCGAGCTTGTTTTGGTTTGGAACTAATAAGAATTTGACTTGCTGCAAGCTCATCTGATGTTGCTTCAAATTTAAGTTTTTCTACACCCTCAAGATGAAGAATTAAATCACTAACTTGATCATTAAGTGTTTTGATTTCCTAAAAAAATAGGTATCAGATTAATGCAAATAAAAAACAAACGCTTCTAACCTTGTTCTGATTTGCCATTTTATCCGTAAGATCGTTTTGTTTTTGAATTAATTGTTGGTTGATGATTTTTTCTTCGTTAAAATCATGTTTTAATTTATTTAACTCTTGTTGACTTTTATTCAAACGTTTTTCTAATTGTTTATTTGTTGCTCTTTCATTAACTAAATTTTGTTGAATTTCATTTAGTTGTTTGTCTTGTTTTTCTTTCTCTTGTGTTAAACTATCAATAGTTATTGATAAATTCTTGTTTTCATTTCGTAATTCTTCAAGATTTTTATTAAAACGTTTTTCTAATTGTTTATTCATTGCTCTTTCATTAACTAAATTTTGTTGAATTTCATTTAGTTGTTTGTCTTGGTTTTCTTTCTCTTGTGTTAAACCATCAATAGTTGTTGATAAATATTTGTTTTCATTTCCTAAATCTTCAAGATTTTTATTAAAACGTTTTTCTAATTGTTTATTTGTTGCTCTTTCATTAACTAAATTTTGGTGAATTTCATTTAGTTGTTTGTCTTGTTTTTCTTTCTCTTGTGTTAAACCATCAATAGTTGTTGATAAACTTTTGTTTTCATTTCGTAAATCTTCAAGATTTTTAATCAAATCAATATTCATCAATTTTTCTTTTTCAACAATACGTTCAGATCCATTATCAGTTATTAATGGATCATTATAATCAGTCTAAAATTATAATGATAATAAAAATAAGAAAGCAGAAGAAAAAATCTTACTATCATATTTGAGATAAAATCATCAAATGGATATTCAACAAGCTGTGTACAATTGTTTTTTTGTATAAAATCATTATCATATTTATCAAGAGAAAGATTAAAAATTTTTTTTTCTTTCAAATTCATTCCATAAGCATGTTGCGTTGATATAAAATGACTAAAAAAGAGATTTTACTTTTTTTTTATAAATTTAATAATACAAAATTAATTTTTACCTAAATATATGATCTTCTTCAATATGATCACAAAAAAGTAGGTTACACGATAAACAGATACAAAGATTCTAAAGAAAAATGAGAATTAAATCAAAATAAATTTTGTTTTTTTTCTCTTTTACTTTTTCAGCATCACATTCTGAACATTTTTGTAAAACAGTAGCATCAATTGTAGTGATTGGAAACATTTAACTTTTTTTTTTATTCACAAAAATATGCCGTCGAAATACAAGTAATAATATATCAAATGTTATTGAAAGACCAATAAACTTTATGAATCAAATAATCATCGATTAAATAAACCAATTTCACCAAATAATAATATATAATAAATTGAATTGATAACAATAAGCTTGACAATCAGATAAATAACATTTAACGAGATGAATACAGAAAAAGATAAAGATAAGTATCAAACTTGTCAAATATCAGTTTATCTTTGCATTCAAATCGATTATATATAGACGACTGGAAGAGGAAAATAATTCAAGAAAAAAAAAGCTCGTCTAGACGACGAAAACAAAGAAAAGAATAAACAAATAAGACGAAAATAGTGACCGTCAGTGATGCATTACACATGTTTTCTTAGAGAGAATATATAAAGACAAACTGGATCTTTATTCAGTTGTAAATAATTACAAATCTACCATTCTTCAAGTATTTTGAATATCCACGAAATAACAAAAAGGACAACAAAATTAAAACTTAATCTATGCTCAAAAGCTTCTCGTTAATCAATGTAATAGCATATTCTAAAAATAACTCAACAACAATCGAATATTTATGACAGAAAATAAAAAAGTACATACATGTTTTATCAAAACCATCGTTTCGTCTTACACGATGAATATAATCGTTCATTGATTTTGGCAAATCATAATTGGAAACAACATCTAATATAATATAAAGATTTTAACACTTTCCGTATCAACAAAACATAATTAAAAATACATGATATCTTGAATATCTAAATCATGTAAAGTCATATCAGTAGCAATACGAATATTGACAGTGTTTAATTTCAAAGCTTCAAGAACGTGTTCACGATCATTTTGGTCTCTAAAGAACAAATCATAATATAAAAAAGGTTAAATCTCTAAGTTTATCAACAATCATAAATGTATCGATAAGAAATGGGTCTTTTAATAAGTTTATTCACAATAACATCAGCGTTATATGCAAAACCAATATTAAAATATTTATAACCATTATAAATGACTTGCAAAAATTTACGATTAACAAAAATTGATCGCTTTGTTCTATGAACTCATTCAATCAATAAAAGTTGATAACTAAATTCAGAAAAAAGAAATTGTTAATATCAGTATCATAGGCCGCGGAAGCGGGGAGGTGTGGGAGAGTGTACACCCCCCCAATAATTGAAAATTTTCAATTTTTTCCAGCGACAAGAGTAGATTTTTTGTACGTGTTGGGCTTATTTTGTGAAATTTTATTGCAAATAGCCCCTTTACACCCCCCCAAAATTCGTTACACCCTCCCAATCTTAGGACCTTCGCGCGGCCTCTGATCAGTATTAAATCCACTTCACTATGTCAATTTTTTTTCTCTTTGAAAAATTTCAATATCTTGTTCGATCTATGTACAGCATAACAACAATCAACATTATAAATAAAAGAGAAATAGATGGCATTCTAGTTTCACTCGACTACAAAATGCTGTTCGAAGCTTTTATTGTCGATTATCGACAGATCGATGATCCGTAGAAAACGAATGATCATCTCTGAATACATCCTTTCGAAATAAGTCCCCTTTCAAAACGTTTTTTACTCTGGTGAAATTAGTTTTCTTTCTTTATCAATTCATGCAGGAAAGTTAGTTTCGATTTGTTAATGCTGATTGAAAATAAAATCAAAAACAAACATGGCAAACTTCATTACTACAAGAAGAGCTCTATCAACGAGTATCAACATGTTTCTAAGGAATATTGACAAATGATCATTTAATTATCTATATGATCCATTATTTAGTATCAGCTGACTTTACAGTCATAATGAACAGTATCAGTTGTTCAAAAGGCTTTGTGCCTATGTTTTTAATGCAGTGTCACAAAAAATATGAACTTTCGATGCGTACGTCGAGGGAGGTAAAAAACTAAGAAAGAAAGAAAAAAACTCGCGTCGATTCACAAAAATGCTGTACTTCGTATTGCATTAAATTAGCAACTGTATTTTATTTTATTACTTTTTAATTTTTTTACACGACCAACATAAACATTGTTTTCTTGGCTGGCTCCGTCATTGCATCATCTATCTTCTATTATTTGAGGTTTTCTAAATATTGTTTTCTCGAGTTTTTTTATCAGAATAGTTTTCATATTCACCAACATTTTATTTTGTACGCATATCATAAACATATTTTTCAACAGTATTTTAGGCATATGAACGTTCTTTTTCTTTTTATCTTGTGCTAGCATTTCACGCCAAACGAGAAAAAAAAACAATAATGAATAAAACAAATAAACATTTTTACTTCTTGTTCAATTAATCGATTAAATTCAATTTCTGTCTTTTTTCTTTTTTTGTTGCTGTTGTATTAGCTGATTTTTGTTTTGTCTCATTACCTTTTTTTTTTCATCTTTTTTCTTAAAACAAAATGATTTCGGTCAAATCAGCAAATAAATAAAAATACAAACATTTTCTTCTTGTTGGGCATTACGATTGGAAGGAGAAGCAGCATTAGGAGATGTAACATTCTTTGTTGAAGAAGAAAAAAAGATATAATTATTAACAACAAAAAAGAAAAGAATGAAAATTACTGACTTTTCCCATTGGTTCGATTGTTGTTGGTACAGTTTATTCAGCTCCATTCTCTGTTACTTGTGTAGGAGATGTTTTGTTTCGAGAGGTTCTTCAAAAAATAAAAATTAAATAAATGTGCATATGTACCAAAACTGTTAAAATTCGACTGATCAAGATTCTGAGATGAAGATTATTGAAAGAAGATAAACAAATGTATCTTACTAACACTAGCTAGTGAATTTACGTAGTTCTTCAACAGTTTCAATAAGTGCAGCTTGTGTAACATCAAAAGTTACATTACGATTAAAACGAACTTTAACTCTAATTTTTGATGGTGTACCATCTGGTTGTGCTTGAATTTTTTCAATAGTATAGTGACCTAAAATTTTCATCTATTTAATAAATAAAACAAACAAAAAAATATCCCTTCTTACCAATATATGATTCAGCAAACGAAATTATCATTTGGATATAAATAACGAGCTTCAACTGTTCAGAGTTCTCGGGCTATACAGTTAGCAATCCATATATACATATATATTTGTTGCATTTATTTAGTTTTATCAGAATTGTTTATAAATAAATATCATTGAGTGATTAAATTATCAAATTCTTTTGAAAAGTTTTTCATAATTATTGATATATATTAAAAATAATCGTGTTAATATTATTTATAATTATACTAATGCCTGTCCAAAAATATAGTGGCCGTGGGTATTTTTGAAATAGCTCAAGAACGGAAAGAGATAGAGAGCTACAGTTTTCATCAATTGAAAGAGAGAAAGTCGAAACGTCTTCTTCTCCAATAAAGTATAAGACGAAATCCTTTTAAAACTAAATATTTTCGAAAAACATACAAAAGAATGTATGAATATGACCTTCCATCTAGGTGAAATTTTGATTTTGACCTTTAATTCAGATAGAGGAAGTTGAGATCTATAGTTGAAGATACAATGCAAATGGTTCTCTTCTTACATTCTAATGTATATATTTAAATAGTTCATATAGCAAAATTTAAAAAAAAAACATCACGAAAACTGACTAATCTGAATCCATGTCTGATAAACATTAGTTTATCTAACAAACAAAAATAGCAAATTACCCTTGGAGTTTTGCTTCGTAGATCTAGTATTGAAAAACACTACATTAGATTCACACGCTCATTTAAATTGTTACTACTATGCACAGATGGCGCTATTCGTCACACAGTATAAAAATCGCTTAGGAGGCGAAATGTAACAAACTTTATTCGAAATAATTCTCAACGAATGAGAGTAATCTATTTCCTTCGATTTGCCCTCGGGAATACAAGCGTAACCATCTTTACTTTAGTCTGATTTCAAATATGACTTCATTGAAATTACAATTAAATAAACTTGCTGATGCTCATACTCAATGGCAACTAACTGATAGTGAAAATCGTAAACGAGCATCATTTCTTTATGATCCAAAAGTAGCTTCAACACTTGATCGAGAAACAATTTATTGTCTTGGTAAAGAAAATTTTATTATTAGTTTCATTTTCTTTGTTTTTTGTTTTCTCGTTAAAGGTACAAATGGTTTTGAAGAACTTTGTTTACTTGATTCTGGTTTTGAAGAATTTGAACGCGTACTTTTCAGTGATACTAGTCTAACATTTGAACGTAGTATTCAAACTAAAGAAGTTAATGATTCATTAAATTTAACTATTCGACGATTTCTTATTCGTCTTTCACCTTATTTTCTCTTGAGTCCAGCTCATAAAGCACTTGAATGGCTTGTGCATCGGTAATAAAAAACAAAAAAAGAATTCTTATTTCTCACAAAAAAGTTCTTTTTTCCAGATTTTTCATTCATTTTTACAATGTCGATGATCTTATGCGATGCATATTACCATATCATGAGCATAATTATTTCACACGTGCAATTCAAATGTTTCGTTTTAATGATAAGCATAGTGCTTGGAATTGGCTTGAATCTGCTCAAGTAGAACTTTAAATTAAAAAAGAAAATATTTTTAAGCATTTATTTTACTTTTTTTTATAGAAAGCAGGAACAACAATTTCTGGTCTTGTTATGGCTAATCGTTGTGCAACTGACTTAGGATTTTTAAATTTTATTTGTGAATCCACTACTATGGCAGTTCAAGTAAAATAACAAAAAGAAAGAGATGTTTTTGATTTAATGTAAAAAGATTTCTTTTATTAACGATTAGGAATTTGGTTCAAATCATTCATCATTACGTGTAATAATAAATTTTTATCTTAAAACATTATGTTCAACTATATTACATTCATTATCACATAAGAAAAAAAAGAAAAAGAAAAATTCCAATGAAGAAAATTTTATTGCTCAATTCATGCCTTATTTACTTAAAGGTCTTAAATCAAAATCTCTGGATTATAAACGAGCTACATATTTAATTCTTTCTAACTTATCAAATATATTTA